CTACATGATGCCCTCAGATACGCCGTGTGACCATCGATGTTCCACAGATTATCAGGACTGCAGTGTTCCTTCTAGAAGGTTAATGTTTCCCTTGCTGGAGGGAAGTACAACCACTTCTTAATAAATCACAAGTTACAAACTCCTTCGCCACCGGATCACCTGACCTTCAGCTATCTTAAAATAATCTATCAGAAATGACTCTGCTGTTGGGGAAGGAGGAGTCCCCCACACTCTACCTAATTCACCATCACAGTTTTGCAATGTGGCATGGCATAACTCTTTTAGAGCTATGGGATGTGATAAGTTAAATGAGTAATAAATATAGTCTTTATTGACGTAACGAGTCAAGAGCACAGCCATTCCCCTTGACTGTTTTCCTCCTGGAACATTACAGGACAGGCAGACACGCAGAGGGGTCAGTTTTGTAGTTTTTGGTTTTTTTTTTCTGAGTAGAGAACCTAGGTAAATAGTCTCAAGCAAAATTAATTCCAAATAAGAAAGCTTAGCCTTTCACTTCACTAATCACTGTTTCTTTCATTCTCAGCCTTTAGTGCTCCAACCCCACACTCTCTTTAAACAAGCAGGAAAATGAATAAACATTCACAATAAGACATGTGTGTGTTGGGTAAATTTTTTCTAAGATAGGGTCTCGTAAGGTTGCCTACCTCGAACTCGTGATTCTCCTGCCTCATCCTGCCCAGGAGCTGGGAGCACAGGTGTGGTCCACAGCCCCCAACAGCATGTGTTTCTTTGTCCAGGGAAGCAAAGGTAAGCTCAGGCTCCAAAGACAAGAGACGTTTCCTGGGAAACATGGATGTGGGGGTCATAAAAGGATCCGGAAAAGGTGTGAGTCAGAACCTGCTTAGCCTAGAAGAATGTTCCATCTGAAGCCCTGAACAAGTCCAACCACAGACAACTCCAACGGTGCACTTCTCCACCTCCCAACACTGTAGCTTCAAACCTTTAACTGCCATACCATAGCTAGTTTCTTGCTGTACTTAAAAGGGCCCCTTGACCATGACTGGATCCAATCTTATAACCACTGTGCCCGCTCTAAACTAAGGATCTTCTCAATCTCTCCCTGATAACCATGTCCCAAACTCACACTTCCTAAGGATGAAATGCAGGCTTTCCTAGCTTCAGGGCTTCTGTGGTGCAGCCCGAATTCCATTCCCTCAGTAACTAAAGTTAGTGAGTTTCTACTTAGACCTACTACTCTCACTGCTGGCTCGACATTGGAAGCATTTGGGGAGCTTCTGAAAAATCACTGTGTCAGAGACCCCCAGAGAGTCTATCTAAGTCGATCCGTTCAGAGTGAAGTTTAGATCGTGGGACTCTAAGGCTCTATAGCAATCTAATGCATGGGCAAGCTAGTCGCCATTTCTGCAGGAAGGAGAGAGCCAGGAATGCAGAAAGGGGGCATGTTCCAATAAATTCACATTCACTCTGAAGCCAGGGCCACATAGTCACATGGTCTCTCTCTCTCTCTCTCTCTCTCTCTCTCTCTCTCTCTCTCTCTCTCTCTCTCTCTCTCTCTCTCTCTCTCTCTCTCTCTCTCTCTCTCTCTCTCTCTCTCTCTCTCTCTCTCTCTCTCTCACACACACACACACACACACACACATACTACAGCTCCACCCTCAAGTTGGCCTTCAGCACTGGCAGTTTTATCTTCTGTCAGCTCCCTTTCTTCTTTTGGACAGTAGAGATTCAAATCTTTCTCTCAGACCCCTAACCAGATCCTGCCTCATTCTTCCAAGCTGATAATTCAACCTCCTCTGACTTACCAAAGGAAATAGCAGGCATAGGCATGAAGTCCCTTGGTGTTCTTCCTTCCTACTTTATAACCACGTGCCATTTATCTCCTCTGGTCTGCCTCTTATTTCATTCTCTCCCGTCTCCATCTTCTACACTTGCTCCAGAGCCTGCCTCTGAAACGTGTTTAGAAGGGGTCTGTCCTCCACCCCTTCACTGATGTCTCCTGGAAGAGTTCTCTACAGTGACAGCCAGCACCTCTGTTTCTCCACTTGACCTTCCATAGCTGCAATTAGATGTCCATACCATCGCCCTAAAGCAATACTTCCCAACTTTCCTGCATGGCACCCACAGCTGAGTGCTCTTCTTTAGCATCCTGAGACAGCACAAAAGGTCACCTAGCACCTCCTGCCACATCAGGAGCTGAGGCTCAGCTTTGACTCTCCTGTGATTGTTCATGGCTGCCCAGCCCGTCTTGGTAGTCTAGACAGGAAAGCCTGCACTGAACTGCTTTGGCAAGGGAAACCAGTGGTCTTGGTGACAAGTGGGGACACCGTCTCCACTGTCTGTTTCTGCTTTTTAGCAGACTTTATTGAGCATGAAGAATCCTTAGTTGAAAATATCGGTCAAGATCACTTGGAATGGGAGGCCAGGAGGTAGGTAGAACCAGACTGCTTTGTGTTTTCCTGTCTTCTTAACTAAACTCTAGTTGTTTAGGAGAACTCTCCTATCAAAGGCAGTGTCTGGGAATCTAGAGTCAGATTATGTTACCAAAGAAGGTAACCAGTGTGGGCAAAGGGGCCTAGTGCTCTTGCTGGCTAAGCAACTGGTGAATGGTGATGCCCAAACAATAATTTACATCAGGCCATGCCTAGCAGCATGTGCCTGTAATCCTGATATTTACAACGTAGAGGCAGGAGGAGCAGAGTGTAAGGTCATCCTCAACGACAGTGAATTTAGGGCTAGCTTGGGCTAAGTGAGACTCTGCCTTTAAAAAATACTTTTTTTTTTAATTACCACACCCCTAGGATAAGTCATAAACTAATTCTAAGTAAGATAGATCCTGGACACAGATAGTCGCCTGGATGTTTGGGGGGAGGAGTCTTCTGAGGAGTTCATGGATCACAAATCTTATGATGAGCTGGGCTCTGTGTGTGTGTGTGTGTGTGTGTGTGTCTGTCTGTCTGTCTGTCTGTGATGTTGGAATGGAGTTGCTAAAGCCTGCACAGTCTCTCATCTTACTTTGACGATGGCGTTTTGTTTCTTCCCTAATTGGCACTTACTAAAAAGAAGATATTTGGACAGAAAGCCATTTTCTCACCAAAATAAGAGGATAAACGCTAACAACGTGGCCACAGCTGTGTGTTTGCGGTGTCTAGCAGCTGGTGTGGTGAGAGACAGCCTGGCTGAGGTGCACCCTGAGGCCATGGTCTCCTCTATGTGCCCCTTGTCTGTGTTGGAGATGCCCAAGTGGCTGCCTCAGCGATGCACACGCTGCTCTACCGCAGACCGCCGAGAGCGACAAGCCCCAGAGCTGACCGGCTAGTTAACTAACATTTGTCCCTCCTGAGTCATTTTCTCAGCCTGGTTCCCCAGGCTGGACACTTAGCCTTCACCTGCACCATCCCCTGAATTTCCTCTTCCTTAGGCCTCTAGAAGAGGACAGCTGGGAGGGCAGGAGGACTGAGAAGAACTGGAGAACTTCAGCTCTCCCTTCTGCTCTGCTTTTGTATGGCTACTACACTCCTCACCTAAGACAGCCTAGCTCTCCTGATCCCACAGTTCCAACCTCCCTGTCTCTGGAATTTTCCCTCGCTCCCCTTCAAGTGTAGAGGTGAGAATGACTTCCCAGCATCTATGGGATGCCATTTTCTAACATTTATTACTGTATCCTTATTCTGGTCTCTTTGAAGACATGTAATAGTATCTGCATTAAACTCATTTTGGCCGGGCGGTGGTGGCGCACGCCTTTAATCCCAGCACTCGGGAGGCAGAGCCAGGTGGATCTCTGTGAGTTCGAGGCCAGCCTGGTCTACAAAGCGAGTTCCAGGAAAGGAGCAAAGCTACACATAGAAACCCTGTCTCGAAAAACAAACAAACAAACAAAACCCTCATTTTGGTTAAACTCTTTGAATACGATTTTTTCTTCTGCCATGATCCTGACTATATGAGTACACTTATTTCAGTAATCCTAAGCACCACTGTTAGCCTAGAATTTTCTTACCCTCTCCTGTTTATATGGTTGTCTACAGCTTAAATTACTTACCATGTAGGAGAGGCAGTGGGAAGCCAGAAGTTAGCCTGTTGGGATTGCCAAAGAAGTTAAAACCAGTGACAAGCAGACTGGTATGCTGCCCATAGCGTGGGGTGGGTGTGGGTGTGGGGGGGTGATGATGACAAAACTTTGAAAACAAATACAGTAAAACATGATCACATTATGATAATTGTAATCCTTATGTATTTATCTTATTTTTTCAGTTGTATTGGAAACCCTGATTACAAGAATATGTTCTCGTCCTTTCTCTCCCTTTTAAAACTCAGCACATGGTGGCTACTTGCTATATGCCTATAGGACTGATGCCTTCAAAAGTGGGTGAAGAGTACAGATATTCAAATGTAAATAGTAAGTAGGCTGCTACTAAAGACACTTAAATATAAAGTATGAAAATAAAGGTAGTTCCTTCCTTTGAGTTTAACTAGAAGAAAAGTAAATACATCAAATAAAGTCAGACAAAGGAAGGCAGCCAAAACTAAAAGAAGGACAAGACTAATTGTCCCCAAGAACCAACGGAAGAGGCTGGGGGATGGCTGGGCGGGTAAGGGACTTGTAACGTGAGCTTGAGGACCTGAGTTTGAATCCCTGGAGTCCACAGAAGGTAACATTTGTGCATCTGTGGTCCCAGTGCTTCTTTGGAGAGATGGGAGGGAGAAACAGGAGGCTCATGGGTCCGTACATTCCATTCATCCTGGTGTACCGTATACAGTGGCAAACAAGGGAAACAGTGAAGATAGGCATCCATGTTGTCTTCTGACCTAGTCTACACTCACGCCACAACACACATGCACACGTATTCACACACATGGATGTGCACTTACACACATACATCATAAGCACACACACTTTATACATGAATATATATCATACACATGTACATTATATACATATAACTTATACATGAATATATGTCATGCACAGATATGCCATATGTATATTCTTTATACACACGTACATCAGACACATGCATGCATCACACATGCACACAATTTAAAGAAAAAACAATGAAGATGGGATGAGGGTGGAGAAAATAAGCCTGTCATCTGGGATTGTGTAGTGGGTGGAGCATAGCATTGAGAAATTAAATTGAAAACATTGAATTTTAAGAGCATAAAAGAAAATATTTTAAAAAGAATGACAGACAACTACTTTCTTCTGAATCTATAAGCACTTGACACTAAATACCAAACGCAAACTAGGGAGCCATAGAAGCTTAATTCAAGAAGACATGTATAGGTATGATAAATGAGTTAATGGCCCCTGAAAGGCTCTGGATTCTTTTCAGCAACACCATTAGTATAAATGCAAGGTGTTGTTCCATGTTGAATTTATAGACCATATTTGTGATATAGACTATAATGGCCACTGTTTGAAGACACAGAAAGGACTAAGACTGCTGAAGAGGCTGCAGAGAAGTCAAAGATTTAGTCCGTTATGACTCACCCTTTATCGGCTTTTTATCCATGATCATATTTAAGTACAGTACTAGGAAGTTGTAAAGATAATTGATGGAGGATTTATTACATGCTTGAGGCCATCGCCTGGACTCTTTCTTACAGAAAGCACAGCACTGTGTAATTATTACCACTCCTTCATAACAGAACCAGTGTGGATGCACAAACCAACTTGGCACACTTCTCACTAGGCATTCCCACTTCAGCCACCAGCGGGACACTCAGGTCTGGGTGTGTACATTAGAATCTTCCAGGAAGGCCGTCCATCTTCACACACTTTTAAAAAAGCCTGCTTTAATTTGCATCTCCAGTCTCTTTAGGAAAGGTGCGCTGACAGAAGGTGGAAGGTCATCAATCGTGGCGGAATAAACCGTGTGGAGGAGGGGGTACGTGTGTGAGTTTCTAGTTGAAACAAAGCTAGGGGAACAACTAGAAACCAGCTCTGAGGCAAAGAGGAGAACCCTGGCAGGCTGTGTCCTCAGGAGCCTACAGGGACTTGCTCTCCTGGTGCGCATAGCACGATCTGAAGGCTGACTTCAGTTTTATAGCTGGAGACTCCACTGCGCAAGGTGACTGGCCTCCTATAGACAGACTTACAACTAGTAACAGAATCCTCTGAGAAACATGAGCTGCAAGGGATTGCCCCGTCAGGAAGTGCTGGCCTTGCAAGCATCGTAGATTCGAGCGTGATTCCCAGAATCCACATTGGAAAATCTAGGCATGGAGATGGACACTTGTAACCCCAGCACTGGGGAAGAGGACACAGGAGGATTCTCCTGGGCTCTCTGGTCACCTAGTCTAGCATAGATAGATCCAGGCCAAGGAGAGACCCTACCTCCAAAGAGGTGCATAGCATTCCTGAGGATGACAGCTGGAGTCCTTTGCTGGCCTCTCTACAAATGTGCACCATACACAATGCACGGGCACGCTAACACCTTGAAAAATAATTCTCTTTAAAAAAAAAAAACAGAATATAATTATTTAGCTGGTTAGTGACTTCTCTTCCTCTAGCCTAGAGTTTATACCAGCGACTGTCAATCAGAGAAAACAATCAACAGTGTGGTGGTGGGGGTGACCTTCAGTCTTTAGGAGAGGTTTGGAAAGTCCCTTTCAAGAAGGCATGGCTCCTGACAGAAATCATGGTTAATGTTTATTTAGCATGGTATTTGCCACATTGACAATCAAAAAGGTAGAGGATCATTATTTGAGGTGAAAACTTTCCAGAGTGTTCTTCATGTAAGAGTCATCTTTGGCACTTTCCCTAGACCAGTGCTTGGACTCTCTCCTGTAAAGTTTCATTAAGTCACAGATGGACTTCATGATAAGTCCGAAGAAACCAGCAAGTTCAGACAATGCTGTCTCAGATTAACCTTCCTGGGAATCATGTCATTATCAAAATATGGCCTCCTTTGCTCCTGCTGAATGGAAGGAGGCATGTTTGCCCCACCATCCTGCAGTAGGCTCTAAAGAGGGTCTGCCCTGTGCCAGAGGGACTCCACACTCTTCCACTGTAGCGGAAGTGAGGTCATCCAAAAAGAGCAAAGCAATCTGTTAGCCAAACACAGCGCCCCATTTCCTCCTCAGTCACTTAGCCAGCCAGAGTCCCCTGAGTGAGGCGAGGTGTACCACCCTCTACCCTAACCACTCCTGCTCTCCTTAGCTATGTGCAATCACAGTGGACCCCAGGCTTCCTCTTCTGACCAATAGGGGGTGGAGCCCCACCTTCTGCCCTATTGGAATCAATTGCACTCATTCTCTTCTCCCAGAAGTGGCTCCTGATGATCCCCATGATACTTGTCCTTCACTACCAAACATATCAAAGTACACAAGGTTAGTGGTCCTTGGATCCTGAGGGAAGAGTGACAAACAGATTAGTCATAGCAGTCTGGCCTCTGAATGAAATAGGAAATAGAAAATAAGACCGTTTGTATTGGTGCAATGATCCTTCTTGAGACAGTGCTCCTCAACTTACGCAAAGTCTGTCTCCACTTTAGTCCCACAGGACTCCCACCTGTTGCAGTGGGAGTTGGTTTCAGGCTCCTGGTTCCAGAGAAGTCAGGAATAACTTCTGGAAGTCCCTCTCCAAGACCACTGTCCTAGTTAGAGTTACTATTACTATGATGAAACATCATGACCAAAAGCAAGTCGGGGAGGAAAGGGTTTATCTGGCTTACACTTCCACATTGTAGTCCATCTCTGAAGGAAGTTGAGACAGGCACTCCAGCAGGGCTGGAACCTGAGAACAGGAGCTGGTTCAGAAGACATGGAGGATTGCTGCTTCCTGGCTTGCTCGACATGGCTTGCTCAGCCTGCTTTCTTATAGAACTCAAGACCACCAGCCCAGGGGTGGCACCACCCACGATGCGCTGGACCCTCCTCATCAATTACTAATTAAGAAAATGCCCCACAGCCCAATCTTATGGAGGCATTTTCTCAATTGAGGTTCCATCATTTCAGATGACTCTAGCTTGTGTCAAGTTGACATAAAACTAGCCAGCACACACACTCACAAGCTTCTCCTTACATGCCCCCTTCACCCACTATTTCCACACTGTTAGAATCGATTTTTGCTGACCATACACCACCCCACCCATTGCTCCCACACCCTTCTGGTGTATCCTCCAAGATTCTATCTCACGATCACAGCTTTCTCATCTCATTATACCCTTGATCTGTGGTCCAGATTAATCTTGCTCTCCTTTAAGTTGCTTTTGTTGGAATAGTTTAACATGGCAACAGGAAAAGCAACCAGGACAGTGTTATGGTAAAATGCCACAGATGGAGTGGTTTAATCAATTAAATTTGTTTTCAAACAGTGGGTGCTAGACATCTTAGCTCGAGGGTCAACTCTGATTTCTCTTGAGGCTTCTCTCCTGCCCTTGTGAGTGTTCCTCTTAGGACTACATCCTCTGTGGTCTTTCTTCCATGTGCACCCGTCCCTGTTAACTCTGTAGGTTCCCATGCCCTCTGCCTATAAGAACACCACCAGCTAGGTGCACCTAACAGCCTCACTGTCACTAAACCTCCCCTAGAAAGGCATTACCTTCAAATACACACAGTACTGTCCCTTCAGGGCCCTGCTTACTCTGACTTTACAGTAGCTCAAAAATCAATCTGCACAACTTAGAAAACATACTTCTTCAATAAGGATCATTTCCCGAGCCAGCAGTATGTAACGTGATCCTTGTTTCTGAAACCAGGCAGCCACAGCCCATCGCAGCTCCCAGAGAGCCGTGAGATTATAATGGCCACCGGCCAGCGCTGCACAGGGTACAATGCTGTGAAGCTGTCAGTTTTAGTAGGTAAGTGTTTTAAATGCATTTTCAACTTGTATTTTCAGACTATGATGCGTTATCAGATAAGGCCCTAAAGAGCCAAGGAACAGCTGTATGGTCACATTCTGGTGTATGGGGCAAGGGCTTCAATATGGAAATTGGGGGGAATCACAAGTCAGCCCATAACAGTGACCTAAGCAATGCTCCTGCTTCCCAACTCCTCCTTTTTGTGTTCCCACTGACTCGCGCCTCGCCCCGCTGTTATTTTTCCCCATACCTTCCTTTCTCATTCCCTCCCTCCCTTCAGCATTCCACCGGTTTTTTTGGCCCTGTTTTTTTTTTTTTTTTTTTTTTTTTTTTTAATAAAGGGTCTCCAGAAGCCCACACTACCCTTGAATTTGCTATGTAGCAAAAATGACCTTGAAGTCCTAATCCTCCAGCCTCCACCCGCTGGTAAGATTACCCAGTTTATGCAGCCCTGGGATCAAACCCAAGGCCTCGTGAATGTCAGGCAAGCGCCTTCCCAACTTTGCTACACCCCCAGCCCTCATTCCATCAAATTCAGAACCTTCCCACCATCTCCCAAAACCTGTGCTCATTAGCAGTCACTCCTCATTTTCCATCAGCCGCATTGTATAAAGTTATCTTAGAAATGCATTCACATTCCTTATTGATCAGTCTACTGGAGGTCTCCGCGTTGAATCGGGATTCCACTCAATCACGGCCCAGCCAAGACCTCTGTGTCGCCAAGTCTGAGAATCATCTTTGTCTGTCACTCTTTATGTTCCTTGTTCTCTCGGGAACATCTTCCTCAGAAGGAGGCTCTTCCCGGGCTACCTGACATACCTTCTAGCTTTCATCTCCCCGTGGATATGTATTTTAGCCTCGTCTGCCGTGGGCCCCTCTTACCTCACTTATAACATTTGGTTCTCCTGTGGACCTCCTCTCAATCCTTCCCACTATGTCATTTCCCCCCAGGGACATTCATTGTTATTATTTGCTGACTGTTGTTAAATGCATATCTCTACATCATGCTTCTTTTCTGAGTCCCAGACAAATACCAACTTCTCGTGTGACATCTCCGTTCACACACTTCACACTTCAAATACATCATCTCCCCTCACAATGTGGGCTACTCAGCATCCCCTGCCTTGCACCAGCACCCTGTAAGTGCTCAGACAAAAGGAGGAGCCCCGTTGGCTCCATCCCTTCATCCGACTGATTGGCAGTTGCTGTCCATTTCCTTTCAAGACCACTCGTGTTCCCTGCTGTCATCACTGCTGGACAGTGGCAAAGCTTCACTGCTCTCATTCTGCCCCGCCCTCCACCCTCTCCAGTCAGGAAGTGACATGGGTGGTAACGCCAGCAAAAGGTGGTACACAGCCTCTGTGTTTCTTTTCTGAATGCCCGAAATACAGTTGTTCAATACGCAACCATTTTAGTCACAGTGTAGCAGGTTCTGACTATAAAGATCATCCAATAATAAATAATAAACGGAAGGATGCAAAACAATTGCCCTAAGCGTTCTCAAATGAAGAACTAAACTACCAGGTTTAGAGAGACTCAACACGAGGCAATGAAAGCACACGCATTTTCACGTACCAAAGAGCCGCTAACATGATCCCAAGAACAGGACGGACGGTGTACAGATCAAATTCCCAAGGTGAGATGGACAAGGTGGTCAGTCTTCTCCTCATTTTCGGTTGCACCAGCACGTGGCGTTCTGATTCTTTTCCTTTGGTTCATCAATCAGTCAACTCTATTGACAAGATCCAGGTTGGTTACATGTTGTAGAAAGTGTACAATACAAAATCCACAAAAAAGTTCTCCCCTTGGGTGGTGTTACATTATTTAGTGTATGTGTGGTGTGTGCTGTGGTATGGTGTGTGTGTGTGTGTGTGTACATACCATAGGGCACATGTGGAGGTCAGAGGACAACTCTTTCCTTCCACTATGTGATGTGAGAGCCCACAGAGGTGTGTGTGTGTGTGTGTGTGTGTGTGTGTGTGTGTGTGTGTGTGTATATATATATATATATATATATATATATATATACATTTATTAAGGGATGGGATGGGGAAACAGGCTCACTGATACAAAGCAAGGTAGACATGCTGCGGATCCAGCTTCTGTTCTCCTCAAGGCCGACGGGGACCAACAACAAGCCACTCCCTGCCGCCTGACCCAGTCTGCTCACCCCAAGAGAGAGTGTCACCCCTTCTCTCTCTCCTATTAAGCAGTCAAGTACCGCAAGACAAGAGGCTTGTACCCCCAAACTATTGGCAGAATGAATTCCCACAACTATGTGAATCCCAGGGATTGACCTCATTATCTGGCCAGGAGCAAGAATCTTTATTTACTAAGCTATCTCACCAGGCTTTAGAGTTTTTTGTTTTTGTTTTTAACTCTATCCCACTTTCTAAAGTGGCCTCACTATTTACCCCCTCAGAACAACGTACAAGGTAGAACTATATTATTCTCCCCCCCCCCATTGGTTATGTGACGTTCCATAACACAGAATTTTCTTCTTATTTTTCCTGTTTGTGAATTCCTTTATTTAATAATTACTCCAGGCCGAATACATGACATGAGGGAAGTCACAAAGACACTTCCACAAACATCCTCATATAATTTAAAAAAAAAAAAAAGAAAGAAAACACCTTTTCCTATTGCTTAGGCACGCTTAGAAAGGACATAGGGTGATCCTTAGATAAACAACCAAGTGGAAACTCGATAAAATTTACTGGTTAAACACCTGGCTTCAGGTATATTAAAAGCAGATTAAAAAGAAGATCAATACTATAGATGTATTTTTTTCTTGCCTCAATCAGTTTGTTTTATCAAACCAAAGAAATATTTGTAAAAGCTGATTTACAGTGTGGTGCAGCTTAGAAAAGGCAACCGACATGAATCCTGCATTACCTACAAGCTGTCCTTCCCCTCCCTTCTTCTGAGACAGGGTCTCCCCGAGCAGTCCAGGCTGACTCTGACCTCCTGGTCCTCTTATGTAATCCTACTCAGGACTTGGATTACAAGTATGTACCACCACACCCAGCCCTACCAAACAAACCCTACCACACCTTTCTCTCAGAGACACCGATCCCCTACCCCCCACCCCCTCTCACCCCCCCCCCCCCGCCCCCGTGGGAGGCCTCCAGCTCACAAATCTAGTAAACACTGTATCACTGAGCTTGATTTCCAGCTCCTTACCCTCTCTAGAAAGATCATCAACATCATATATGTTTAAAGATTTATTTATTTTTATGTGAATGGGTGTTTTGCCTGGTGCCTATGGAGGCCAGAAGGGGGTGTCGGGTCCCCTGGAAGTGGAGTCACAGATGGTTGTTGACCCACCTTACAGGTGCTGGGAACGGAACCTGGGTCCTCTGTAAAAGCAGCCAGTGCTCTTAACCTCTAAGCCATCTCTCCAGCCCAAACAAGCAACATTTTTGAAAGTCGATAAACCATGGATTTAGCTAACTTTATGCACTGCAAGAAAAGGTAAATTTAAAGAAAGAAAAAGAAGTCACCTCTTTCGTGGAAAGTCATTGTCAAAACATAGGAGGCATTGAGACAAATAATCTGCTTTCTTTTTAAAAGTTTGTTTGTTTTTATGTGTACAAGTGTTTGCCCTCACGTATATCTGTGCGTCACTCGTATGCGGGGCCCACAGAAGCCAGAAGAGGCCACTGGAGGCCCTAGGACTGGAGTTACAGACAGTTGTGAGCTGCCGTGTGGGTGCTGGGAACTGAACCCCTCTTCTTCTCTATAAGAGCAGCCAGTGCTCACTCTTCACTGCTGAACCATCTCGTCAGCTCCACACTTTGTGGTTTTTTTAGTCTATGAGTATCACAGAGAAACTACCCTTCCTACCACCTAACTAACAGAGAAACTACACAAAGCTCATTCATAAATACACTCTTACTCCTTTGTCTTTTTTTTTTTGGTTTTTCGAGACAGGGTTTCTCTGTGTAGCTTTGCGCCTTTCCTGGAACTCACTCTGTAGACTAGGCTGGCCTTGAACTCACAGAGATTTGCCTGGCTCTGCCTCCTGAGTTTTGGGATTAAAGGCGTGCCCCACCACCGCCTGCCTGTCTTTGTTCTTAAAACTTTTAGAGTCAGGGTCTCATGTAGCCCAGGTTGGCCTGAAGTCCCTATCTATGGAGGAGTTCGGTCTTGAAGTCCTGCTCCTTCTGACTCTGCCTCTCAAGAGCTAGGATGATGGGGGTGTCCCACCACACCCAGCTTTATTTTTTGGAAGAGTCAAGACAGGACAGCCACCTGAAGCACAAGAGGCCCATGCAGAATTCATACCCTGCAACGGTGCACACAAGACTGATGTACAGATATCTGAGCCATGAAGTAGGGAGTAGGTGGGCTGGTCACCCAAATTCACCTACATGGAATCCGGACCCTCTGTGTCACCCATGGATCAGGCACTAAGCTTCTGCATTACATCTGTGGTTGTCCGGAAAAAAAATTTGTTGGTTCAAATTTCCATTTACTCGGACAGCATGCTAGCAAACCAATCCATTTCTATTGCCTTCTGGGCAAAATGCCTGGGCTTTGTAAATGTAAAAAGGAACTCCTTATTGAAAAGGAAAAATAAACCCAAGGAAAAGAAAGTTCATTGCTGATGCTCTTTTCTGGATTCCTAGCTTCCTGGGGCTTAAAAACAAGCGCCTTCTCCACAACAATGATGTCTATCCTGTGGTTAATTGCGGGAACATCTCATTTAAACTTCTCTATTGCGACATCATCTCAGAGCTGTCGGCTTGGGACCTCCCTCACATGAGTTCTAGTATGTACCATTAGGTTTAATGATTATTGACACAAATGATATCCACACTAAATAATAGACAAGTTTATAATTATTTTTGTTGATTGTATGTGAATCCCCATCGGGCAGTCTGTGCAATCCTACACATATGCACCCCAAACATGAAGGGAAGTAGATACTGTCATGAAAAAAAAAAACAAAAAAACATTTACATCAGTTAAAGGTTCAGCCAGTTGCCTGGATTCCTAGTTAGACCCTCTTCTGGAGACCACGGTTGACTTTGAAAACTATCACCAGGTGTGGAAATGGTAACTCCAGGGAAATGCCAAGCTTTGACCATTTTTAGACAGAGACAACCCTTCCTACCACCTAACTGCTGAGGTCATCAGAGAAACCGCTTATAGCCCCTTGTGCCCCCAAGGCAACAGAAAGGCACAAGTCCATTTAAGTAGAGAGTCACTCTTTCAGTGATCATTCTGGTTCCGGTTTCTCGTCCTTGCCAAAACGCAATTCACCTAACGGGGCAAATGACAAGGTGGTTAGCATCATTAGCCTCATTAGGAGCAAGCACCCTTCCAGCTCACCTAGAGGTGCCACCAGGCGTGGTGACTAACCTCGCCAAGCGGTCTTGTGATGTTTGGAAACCCACCTCCTTGACCTAGGCGGGGCACCACCCTTTGAGTCAGCGCGGGTGCCCCCGACCCGCACACGTCGCAGTCGGGAAGCAGTTTCCGAAACCCGAGGAGGTGCGGAGGTGGCTTATCCCTTCCCGAGCCCCACCCCTGAAAGTTGCTGGGAGCGGCACCCAGAGAACTTTCCCAGATCGATCCCCGCCCGCGTTCGGGGAGGTCTGCCCGGCTCTGCGCTCAGCCTGCGGCCCGGAGCCACCTCGCGCTGCCTGCCAAGCCCCTCCTTCGCTGCATCTTCTAGGGCCGCAGAGGGGAGGGTCGGCTAGAATCGCCTCCCGAAGAAGTCGCACCGGTTTTTCGTGCTCGGCTGGACGCCGGCAAGAGACACGACCGCGGGAGCCCGCGGGAGCTTCGGGCCCGGGGTGAGTCACGGCTGGGAGCAGGGGAGGGCAGGCGAGAGTGCGAGAATGAATGATGTCAGGAGCGCGCAGGGCACGGGCTGGGGAGGGAGGGAGGGAGGGAAGGAGGGAGGGCGCGGGATGGAGAGGGAGGGAGGGAGGGCGCGAGCTGGGGAGGGCGGGCCCGCGGTAAACAGAGCTGCGCGCTGCCCCGGGCTCCGCCGGCCGGAGACCCCGCCCTCGGCGCCGCTGGAGCCGCCCGGAGCTCGGTTCGCTGCAGCGCGGGGACTGCGGCCTGGGGCGGAGCGGCTTCTAAAGCCAGCGAGACCCGCGCAAAGTTTGCAGCTCTCGGGCCCGGTCCCCCGGGTCCTCCGCGCCCAGCGAGCGCCCCCGGCGTGCGAGCACCGGCTGCGAGCGGTGAGCGCCGGGCCGGGAGGAGGATGGGCTGCGGGCTGCGCGTCCTGCGGAGCGCGTGGGGGACGTGGCTCCAGCGGGGACGTGGCTCTGATCGCCACCGCCTCCCCCAGGCCGCCCCGCCCCGGGCATCCTTCCTCAGTGTTCATCTGCTGGGGGTCAGCTGGTGGTTGTCTCTCCTCCCAGCCCTGATGCTCATTCATTTGTAACCCATTTTTGGGTACTTGGTGGTGGCGTTGAAATGGCACAGGTTAAACCGTTGATTGTGCAGTGCCACTCTGGAGGTCAGGGTTGAAGTTCAGGTGGCGAAGGAGAGACTGTCACTTGCTGAAGATCTGTGCACAAGACCAGCCCCGGGCTGCCCAAGGGGACCTCGCTGCCTTTGGCGTTCAGACCCGCGCCCCTCGACCAAGGGAGACTGGGTTTGTCAGCACAGAGAGGTGGGAGTGGACCTACCCCGTCACAATCTGTGGGTCCGGTGATCGTTCCGTCTCAAAAGCAAATACTTCAAATGTTATTTCCTGTAAGCTTTTATTAATACGCCGTTCCTCTATTTCAAGACCTGCTTATTCTAAAGTGACCTTAAAATAATTTTGACATGTTTTTGAAATTCTGGAGAGGTTCAACTCTACTTGTCAGTGGGTTCACGTGGACTTTGAATCGTACTTTAACTGTTCCATTCTGTGGTTTCACTCCTAGCTTCATCTACTAACCCTGAACCCTCGGTTACATTTACCATCCGGAACCTGTAAAATGAGATTAGGACTACTTCAAACAGTAACGAGTATTAAATAAGGATTAATGAGGTTAGTGATTGAGGATGGAGGCACAAAAGTCTGATCATAAACGTCCTCTCCAAAGCAGACACCACTAGCTCTAACTGTTGACTTGTAAATAATAGCAAGTTCCAGGTGGCTTAGGTAAAGGCCAGTTTCCCTCTGAGGAACCTGTCGGGCCGAGTTAGCACGTGAAAAGCTGTGTCTCCTCCCTTGGAGTAGGAAGGGAGGTTTTCAGGAAGTCAAATGTTTCAGGGTGGATACCTAAGAAGGTTTTGTCCCCACCCTCTGTTGTGAGAGCTAGTAAGTTGTTTAAGAGACGTCAAAGCCGCCGGGCAGACAGAGAATGAGACTGGACTTTGCAGGAAGAAGGTATTTGTAAAGAACTCTCTAGCATTTCTTTCTTTCTTAATAAGAAGCAAGCAAAATTCGTTTTTTGTTTGTTTTGTTTATAGCCCATTTCCTTGGTCCTCTGATGGTCTTATTTCATACTGCTCTCCCAGCTGAAGAGTTTTTGGTTTGTTTGTTTGTTTTTTTAAAGCAAGTTAATATTTAATTTGCTGTTGTTAGTTTCATTTTTAAATCAAGCTGGTTGACCTCTGAACCCGCAGAGAAACTCGGGAACACCTGTAAGGAGGCTGTTTCATCCTGTTCGGAGTTTCCTTTTCCCAGAGCTTCGTAAAAACCCTAGGAGGTATTTGGAAGGATCTGAAACATTTGCTCTGAAATCTAGAACACTGAGGCTGGGGAGGGGGCTGTGGCCATGGGGAAGCAGAAGACCAAGGTGATTGCCAGGCCCTGGGCCCGCTCCGCTACTCTGAGTTACACTCTCACATTCTGGGGAACTTTAAACAAACTATACAGAAATTGTCTTACATTTGTTAAAATAGACAGTAACATACAGATTGTGACCTTTTTCTGAAGTGATACTTTGAGGCGGTATTTGGAGGGAAAAGGAGGGAGGGGAGGAGAAAAAGGGAGGGAGGAGGGGAGAGAGAGTGTGTGTGTGTGTGTGTAAAGAGTCAGTCTCACTGTGTAGGGCTACCTGGCCTTGAACTTGAGATCCTCCTGCCTCAGTCTCCTCAGTGCTGGGATTTCAGGTATGCACTACCATGCCCTCTGCTTCCTCCTCCTCCTCCCCCCCCCCCAAACAATTCCTAAGAATTCTGGACTAAAGAAAGAGAAGCTTTCTTTCATTTTCTGGTGGAATCAAATCCTGAACTACTGGTATCGGTAGTCATTCAACTCTTTTTTTTCGAGACAGGGTTTCTCTGCATAGTTTTGCGCCTTTCCTGGATCTCACTCTGTAGACCAGGATGGCCTCGAACTCACAGAGATCCGACTGCCTCTGCTTCCCGAGTGCTGAGATTAAAGGCGTGCACCACCACCGCCCAGCTTCAACTCATATTTTTTAAGTCATTCTACTTAATATATGCTAGCACTGGTATATAACAATGCTGAGATAATGGAGATTCTGTTACTGCCTTGTGACTTAGTCCAGTAGACTACAACCCAAGTATTATGGGGTCAAAAAGCAGGAGGGTTGGGAGCTGGGAGGAAGCAAGAAATGACTGAGCAATGCTGGGCTGCCTTCCTAATGGCCCTGTGATGGTTCTTGAGTTGGGCTGCTACATTCTCGTTTGGCTGAGCAACTATGCAGATACCTTGCTTTACCTAATAAAAGTAGTATTGACAAATTAATTTAAAGAATGTAAAACAGACTCATTGAAATATGAAGGGTAAGTTAGCTCAACCAAGACTTTTTTTTTTTTTTTTTTGGTTTTTCGAGACAGGGTTTCTCTGTGTAGCTTTGCGCCTTTCCTGGGACTCACTTGGTAGCCCAGGCTGGCCTCGAACTCAGAGATCCACCTGCCTCTGCCTCCCGAGTGCTGGGATTAAAGGCGTGCGCCACCACCGCCCGGCTGTTTTTTTGTTTTTTTTTGTTTTTTGAGACAGGGTTTCTCTGTGTAGCTTTGGAGCCTGTCCTGGAACTCGCAGAGATCCGTCTGCCTCTGCCTCCTGAGTGCTGGGATTAAAGGCATGAGCAACCACCCTATTGATTTATTTCCTTTTAACAAAGTCCTAAGGTAGAGCTTTAAAAGGATTACCATTGTAATCAATATCCCCACATCCTGGTTTCCCTCACATTAGAAGTAATGTTAAGAAATATTTAGAAAAATGGGCAGAATAAACCTATCACCCTGAAAATCACTTAACATTGTACCTTCCTTTTTTTTTTTTTACGGTGTGCACGCGTAACAGCAAGTGCTAATGTGTATTGAGATGAGCTGATTTCTACACCCCACTACAGTCTTGTGAGGTGGCGCTCTTTTGTGTCTTTCATGAATGTCTGGGCACCGCATGTATGCAGTGCCCGTGGAGACCAGAAGAGGAAGAAGGATCCCCTAGAACTTAGTTACAGATGGTTGTGAGCCTTCATGTGGGTGCTGGGAAGCAAACCCGGGTTCTCTGGAAGAGCAGCCAGTGTTCTTAACCCCTGAGCCGCCTCTCCAGCCCCAAGGTAGACATTCTTTAACTTTGTATTAGGGAGAAAAGGATCTGTAGCAGTTACTTAACTTCCCAAGGTTGCACAACTGGAAAGCTATTCTCTACAAAACTAGGTTTATTTTCTACAGATTCTAACTTTCCCCCAAACTCAGTTATAAGCATCTCTTATATCACTAAAAGATCCTGACATAACAGACGTCTTTTTTAGTTTTCTGAACCAATCCCTTACTGTGGGACACCAAGTATGTTTCCAGTTTTCACTGTTTCTAAAGATTTCTTTAATTTTAATTATGTGTATGTATGTGGGTCTGTGTGGGGGTATATGCACACAGAGGTATATCCTCAGAGGCCAAAGGCATCAAATCCCCCTGGAGCTAGAGTTGGTTGTGAGCCTCCCAGTGTGGGTGCTAGCAATCACACTTTGTATACCCACTCTTAACTGCTGAACCCACATTTTCACTATGTTTTTTAGCAGCTTACATTAAACATTGATATATAACATGGTTATTTTTCGGTTGCTTTGCTTTTTAAAAAGTGAAATCTATATAACTTAGCTGTTTTCTCAAAAGGCCATTTTTAGAGTTAGAAAAATGTTCTGTTGTTTGTTTATTTTTGAATCCTTACTGAAGATCAAACCCAAGGGCTTGCAACATGCCAAGCACGTGCTTTTATTATCAGTCTGCATCCCTAGTCCCTCTCCTTTCTTTTAAATCTCACTTGCATGTTCCTCAAAGCTTTGGGCTTGGGGATCAGCCCTGGCTGAACTGCCCAGCGGGGTACTGGTTCTTTACTCTGGGGATTATCTGATGAAAAGAGAACATTCCAGCTTTCTGAAAGTACTGTTTGTGTGTTTGTTATTAGTCATGAAGCTAACCTTATTTTTTAAGGAAACATAGCAGAGAAGAACCGTGTTAATATTGCCAGGCAGCTCTGAAAAAGAAATTTTATTTCTGCAGTTACACCTTCAGCACCAGTGAGATAACAGTAAATATTTTCAGATAGTATATTTATATTATTACAATTAGTATATTAGCTTTAGGATAAATTGCATCAATTTTTTTTTATCTATCTGTCTGTCTGTCTATCCATCCATCCATCTATTTATATTTTTGAGACAGGGTTTCACTATGTAGCTCTGGGTGTTCTAGAATTCACTATGTAGCCCAGGTGGCCCTTCAACTCAGAGATCCACCTACCTCTGCTTCCTGAGTGCTGAGATTAAGTAGGTCACTTTTTCAAAAAGTTTGTGTGTCATCCGTATGACATCGTCAGGTTGACTTAATGAAAATGCAAGACATGTCCATTGTTTTCACTGTGAGTACAGTG